TATATATATATATATATATATATATATATATATATGTATGAGGGGTCTGGTGAGGAAGTAACAAGTGGTGGGTGATGCAAATAAAATGAATGTGCTGACATAACCTCATTTTTTTCACACTTCTTACCAATGTCAGCAAGAGAAGATCTTCTTTCCTTAAAAGTGACCACTGATTAAATAAATTAGACAAAATTCTAAACATTCCAGTGCTTTTTTAAACTTTATTTGTGACTAAACTTATTTTACATATTTCACAATTTTTCACTGCAATACACCTAAGACTTTGACAAAATACTTTTCTAACTAAACTAAACTAAACTAAACTAAACTAAACTATATATGGTATAATTGGAGGTGAAACTTCTTTTCTGATCAGTGGTTCCGTTGCTTGTCCAATAGTCTAACCAGCCAACCGATATGAAACTTAATGATTATTTATTAGAATTGGTTGCACTGGAGCTTTTTATGTGTAGCCAGAGAAGGAAAACAAGGAATTAATTGAGCTTGTGAAAGAACCATTGTGCTGTACAGATTTGGTTTTAGTCCTGATGTACTGAGCCACAGTTAAATTAAGCAATACACAACATTTAACGATGGCCCTTCTACATATATTTTTTTAATTAGTTGTAATGTGGATTTTCTGAGCATGTTGTGGAGTGTTTTCTTAACCTATAAGTAAGTATAAGTGCTTTATGTTGTCATTGTATAGTTCCATACAATTACAACATTGGTTCTCTACATATAGCCCATCACACCTGGGATGCACCCATGTGGAGCAGTGGGCAGCTATTGAGCACCTGGAGCAATTGGGGACTAGATGTCTTGCTCAGAGACACCACAACATGTGGGAATGGCTGGGAGTCGAGCCGCGACTCTGGTCCCAGGTCGGCTGCCCTACCACTACCCCATCTCTGTCCCCGACATGATGAGGGCTCTGTCAGAATTTAACTTTGCATTTCAGCAAATGTCATAAAGGATAATTGTTGGAGAAAATCTCTCTCACTAACATTGTTTATCCAAAAGAACCACACTTGATGGCAGGAGAAGACTTTAAATTGGTCCAACAATTTTCAGTCAGGTCATCTGGACAGTTTATTTTTTTGCTGAAATGTTTCACCTTCCATCCAGAAGGCTTCATCAGTCAAGGAAACACACAACACTAAACTGATTCTTCTCCCAAACAGCTCACTCCAAAGTAAAACAAGGACTTACTTTGGAGTAAGCTGTTTGGGGGAAGAATCAGCTTTGTGTTGTGTTTCCTTGACTGATGAAGCCTTCTGGATGGAAGGTGAAACTTTTCAGCAAAAGAAGAAACTGTCCAGATGATCTGACTGAAAATTGTTAGATTGTATACCTGGATTATTGAGCATGGACTTTTTTTTTTTTTACTTTAAATTGGTATTATACTTGCAAGGTCAGATTTTCAGGAGACATTACATAAATATACATCTGTCACATACGTTACGCATGAGAACCAGTCACAGAAAAAAAGCCCCAAGCTGCGTTAACCACTCACTTTTATAACCTTATCAGTTCAGCTGAGTTCACAGAGTTCAAAAGGTGTCGTTGGAGCCAGCTGCAGCCTTCTCACCCAGTGCTCTCCATTAACCCAAACATATGGTTCATGGGCAGAGATGATACAGTATAGGTCTTGGGAGACTGTTATAATTATGTCTTGGGCTTCTTATTCTCAGCCATAGTAATAAAAACATGGATAACCAAAAATTATCTGACAATAATGTAAAAACTTGTGGAATTACGTTCATTATTTTTAACATGACAATGATAAAGACACTGCTAGTGCAGTAAATGCAAACCTGGGTAGAAGTCAAAATATGCTACAGAACACTAATATTCATGAACTGGTCTCTCAAACACCCAAGGAAGACTTGTGGAGTCACTTTCATGAAGCCTGGAGAACATTTCTCTAAAACTACTAAAGGAAATTTGACAATGAGAATTTATACAAAGATAATCATAACAAGTTTGAACTTTCATTATGGTTGGAACATGTTCTGTTTTCCAATCTATGTTTGCAGGTGGTCCAAGAAATCAATGTTGCTATTTTACCATGTCTTGGCAAAACATGTATACAGTGCAAAACTTTTACTTTTTTTGTTGTTGTTGCAACTTTTACTTTTTACTTTGGTTCTAATGAGCCAAACGTTCCTGTAATCTTTTGATCAATAATTGTCCTGGTTTCTGAAAGCCTTTCTAAAATTTTCATTGGACTTTAGATGCTTTTTATGACAACACATGCAGCATGTGAACAGAGGAAGGACAAAACATAACAAAAAATGTCAGATCTAAAAAAAAAAAAAATTAACAAAAAATCAGAGCAAATGAACTTTTTATTTGAAAGTCAATTCAGCAGACCCAAACAGGACCTGTGAGTTAGATCATCTACTGTATGTAAAATTTTCAGCTATTAGCTCTTTAGAAATCACCTTATTGGTACCAAAAGACCAATTTATGTGTGAAACTGTATTTAATCCTGTTTCCACTGCAGGAACCAGTTAAAACAGAATACAACGAGAAAAAAAGAATCACCCTGGAAAATATAAGGAGGTAGCCCTTTAGGAATTACCTGGACCATTCAGGGTGCTGGGGAGCACTAAACATTTTGTCTTTTGGGGGGGTGAGCGGTTGTGTAACCACGGGATTCTCACCGATAATTCATTAGAAATGTGTCCTGATGCATGCTCAAGACTGAAGAAGTCTTTTGGATAAAAGACAAAATGTTTCCACAAAGAAGAATCCATCCAGAGGACCTGACTTCACCTTGTTACATTAGAAATGCTCACATGAAAGGACCAAGGTTGTAGCTGCTGCCTGACCAGGTGCAGCACTTCAGATGCAGAGAAGAAGCAACATCCTACATGTCAGCAAGTCATGTCAGCAAGTCATGTCAGCAAGTCATGCCAGCAAGTCATGTCAGCAAGTCATGTCAGCAAGTCATGCCAGCAAGTCATGCCAGCAAGTCATGTCAGCAAGTCATGTCAGCAAGTCATGTCAGCAAGTCATGTCAGCAAGTCATGCCAGCAAGTCATGTCAGCAAGTCATGTCAGCAAGTCATGTCAGCAAGTCATGCCAGCAAGTCATGCCAGCAAGTCATGTCAGCAAGTCATGTCAGCAAGTCATGTCAGCGTGCCTAAAAGAAGAAAGAGTTTGATAGGACTTTTTTTGCCTCCAATTCCTACGTGTCCAGTTTCACTACTTTTTTTGTCTGTCTGAACAGAGCTCACTTGTAAATGAGTCTTTGAGGCTCAATGTGATTTATCTGTGTAAATAAAGGTTAAATGAATCAATGGAAAAAAATCTATCCTGTAGCAACACAATAAACCAGGGCTGAAAGAAATGTTGGTGGCTCAGAGTAAATAATTAGTAAAAAGGTTCAATGGTGGAACTGTGTCTATAGGGATTTAATAATCAATGTAAATTGATTATTTGTTATGTTGGCTGTAGAAACAACATTGATTTGTCCTTTGAGTTTTGGGGCCTTTTATATCTGAATGTTTCAAAGGTCAGAGCAAAAAAAAAGTTTCTCTGAAAAATGGTCTGTCACTTGACAAGGAGCGAAAAACAGCCTAAGGCAACAGAAAAACTAAAATATGTTAAAATAAATAAACAAATAAATAAATAAACTAAAAAACACTCACTAATCATAACCATTTTAAGAGATTACATGGAGTTCTGGTTCCTTACATATAAATGAGGGATAACTTGAAGGAGTATTTTCTGAACTCTCTTTTAGCAGAAAGTGAAGTCCCGTTTCTTTTGGTTGCAGCCAAAAGTCTTTTGGATTAAAGACGAAACGTTTCAGTAAATTTGCTTTATTTTTATGTTTTGAATCAGTTCAGAGGACCTTACTTAACTTTAGTTTCTTAAAGGGTTTGTTTTCCACTGCAGCGCTTACACTCCTGAACAGTAGGTGGCGGTATACGTGTCGCTGTAGTACATGCGTAGATTGTGGGCGTGACCTATTTGACTGTTTTGCTTTCGTCTCCCCGGTGCTGTCCAATCAGAACTCGCTAAAGAGAGACACCGCCAAGATCAGATTGTGCGAGGCGCTGTTGTGAATCGAGGCTAGCAGAGACTGAGCTGGGAAGGCTAGTTGACGTCTCGCTAACTTGTGAAGTCCGCTGGTAAGGCGCATTCACTGACTTATTGGTGGCTGCCTCGCATATCATAGCTCGTACATATATCTTTTAACAGTTTTTACGCTTTGAATTGCATGGAAACACGTCGCTGTCTGATGCAAAGCTAACAATCGTAAACTTTCTCGATGACAGCTGGAGGCTAGCTTGATAGCTAGCCACTGGGCTAACAAAGCGCCCGAGGTCGCAGTTTCTCTGTCGTATCTGGTTAGCTCGTAGCTTTGATCACCATTCGCTAACTAGCAAAGTTAGCAACTGGTTATATTAACAAGTCCCTTAGTTAGTGTTTTTGTATGTTCATTACTGTTTCGCGTAGCAGGTCATCATAATTAATTTCACAACAGGGCTCGTTCACGATCCGAGGGCTAAGGTTTGAGAACATTAACGTGCTCATCTTTAGCCTTTTGGTTTTAACGCAATAAACAAAAGTTTGCGTTGATTTGTATCTTTTGCTAATTTACTGCAAGTTCTTTAATACTAGTTTAATCATTTTAAACGTGTTGTAGTTGAATATATATTACGGTTAAACTAAATATGTCCTGAATTTTAGCACAATCTGCACAAAAAGCTCAGTCAATAATATCGATTAGTCACACTTGTTTTTCTGAGAGGTGATGATCCTGAAAAGCAAAGTAAAACACTTTTAAAATGTAAAACTACACTAAAATTATGGGATGTTTGTACGTATGTATTTACCTCTACAGTTTGTATTCAACCTGCTGAATTATATTTGTATTTTGGAGTAGCACTGTGTTTTGAACTTATGCCCTTATTAATCCTCGGCATGTGTACATATTTTAAATTACAGACTAATTATTAACTTTTTATTAGAAGCAATGGAGATATCACATTTGTGGTATTGTCTTTTATTAAAGGTTGCACTTGGATATTATATTGAATAAGTTGTCATGTTACATTTACTGTAGTTTATTATTAGATACTGTTGAGTTCTTAGGTATGCATGGGCCATTCAGTATTTATTCTCTTTTTTAATATTTTTTATATTATGTATAATCTTTTTTGCATTCTAAATTATTATCTGATGACAAAATAATTCTTATGGCATAAGTAATGCATCTATGTCCATATTTTGTGGGGTAAAGTTTGAGTTTATAAACCATCAGAGCTCAGTTGCCAGACTCGACTAACAGGCAAAACCTGGCATCACTTTCTACACGGTGACAAAATGAAAACGACACATTTGCGGGGGAGAAACTTTTTGAGTCAAATACTTCAGCCCTGTAAAAGAAAATAACATGGATTTAAGTATAAAATAGTTTCAAAGTACTTCTACTTTGGCTAGTTTCCTGTTTAGATGGGATTTAGACCTCCTCTTCCTCCGCTCTCTAATGCCAACAACAACAGCCGTCGAGGAGACAAGAGAGTGCACTCGTAAGTGCACAGATTCCCTATAATAACCCCCCTCACCGTGCGAAACGCGCACTTCTTTTTCCCAATATTAGTCCATGCATAGAAAAGGCTATAATCTGCAGCTTGTAACCGGGGATCTCGTACTTTTTTTACCAGTCGTCTCAAAACGTGCACAAGCTAACAACTAGCAAGCTAAGGACGGAGCAGCGAGCTGAATCTGACGCTCGCCGTTAGCCGCAGCGCTAGCCAGCCCAGTCAACAAAAGACTGTCCATTTTCTGTCAGCATGTGATGTGGAGACAGCCATTGTACTGCCTGTAACTATATCGTGCCGTCCCGGATCAGATGCGGCTAGTTTTGAGACATTTAGATAAAGTTAGCCTGTTTTTTTAGTGTGTGCGCTGTAGCAGAAGTTGGACGATGCCTCTCCTCCGGACGTGCTCGGCACCTGAAGTAGGCCTTGTGCACTCTTAGCCGAGGAAAAGTTGGGAGCATCAACTGATGCTTTGATGTGCTTTTGTGTTTTCACAGAGCATTCGCACTCAACGACTCGTCGGGTTGAAATTTGCACAGTTCCCCTTGTTCTCAACCTGCTTTTGCTTGTTTTGCATGGAAAGTGGAGCTAACGTTGGAGATGTAGTTAGCTTTCTACAGTGTGCTCTTAGCTACCATTGGAATTGGGCCTTACTTCAGAAATAAGTCCAAAAATATATAAAAAATAAATGTATACTATGGGTGTTTGTGGGGGAATGCTATATCTGTGTTAAATTTGAAACTTAATAGCGTTTGCTCATAGTTTTGCCTTCTTTTTTGCAGGGGTCTGAATATTATTGACTGGAAGAATAAAATATTTTTATCCTAAACTAAACTCCTTCAGGTCCTTTGGGATCATGGCTAAAGATGTAAGTATCCATACACAGGGGAAATATTTATTAAGCACCACACTTTTCTACCATCATACCATGAGCCTCTGATAGGTTTTCAATTATTATTTTTTAAATACTTTATTCATTCTGTTTAGAAGAAAGATTTCAGGCATTCTGGTGTTGCCTTTATGTAACCTTACAAACCTTAAAATGCTTGATTTGAGTAATATGTGGACCATGAGATTCAGAGACTACAAATGTACATTAAAAAGTGTTAAATCAAATATTGTCAAGATGGTTTGGTACTGCATACAGTCAGACATGGACACTAAAATCTTTTCTCTTAAAAATGTGTTTACTTGAGGCAACATCTACCTTTATAGATATTAAAACAAAATACTGGAGCAGTGCTTTTTATAACACCTGTCTAAAGCATCAGGCTGTTTTTGATAAAACTTGTGTAATGTATTCACTAGTTAATGCCATTTTTTTTTTCCTTTCGCTTAACAAGTTTAAGACCCCTGCTTTTGCTCTGTATCTTTTCTGTTGAGAATTGACGTGAGTGAATTTGTAAAGGCTTATCTGCATTTTAATGTGGTTTCTGTTACAGGCTGGTCTGATTGAAACAAATGGAGAGCTGAAGGTTTTCATCGATCAGAATCTGAGCCCCAGCAAAGGTACACTTTACCTTTTTTTTAAATCTTGCCGGTCATACACATAAAGCTCAATTTACTCCTAAGTTATAAGATGTAATTGAACTGATTGGCAATCCCACAAACAAAATTCATCTTCAGGGTACACTTTTTTTTTAAGTGAACAACTGGGCACTGATGTTTCAGTCCTTTTACAGTTCTGCTTATGTCTTCTGTTAGGTGTCCTCTCTTTGGTTACTGTCCAGCCTACAGCTGCCCCTGTGGCCAAACAACTACTACCCAAAACCCTTGGGCCGTCCAACGTGAATGTTACTACACACATGCAACATGTGTCACACATGGTATGTAGTTCTATGAAGGCAGTTTTGCCGCCTTTTTATATGGGAGTTGTGGAATGTCTCTATAGCTAAAACAGAAGCTAACATTTCTTGTGTTTGAGACTTATTTATGTTTTAGTAGTTGTTTTTTTTCTACATTTTTTGCTGTTGTGTAAGCCCCTCCATTATCATTGTGAGGTGACCGGGCAGAGGGTAGGTGGAAGCAGTTGATCCTAAGCTTATCAACTTTCCAGTCAGCAGGATTACACCCATCATCTCATTATGTACAAGCAATGTATATCCAAAAGAAATCAGCTTACATATCACCTTAGTGAAGGAATAGATCACCTATTTTCTGCATACCTCATTTTATTATTAGGAAGTCAATATTTAGGCACAGTCTTTGTTCAGGCCTCATTTCTATCCAGTAAATCCAACTATTTAAAAATGATAAAATCTAAAGGAAGATTGCGTCCAAATTTAATTTAAAAGTTCTCAGCTGGGTTTGTCTGCTTTGGATATAATATGTCAGTATTCAACAAATGTTAATGCAAATACAAAACATGAACTGAAATGTGTTTATTACAGCTACAATTAAGCTGAATTTATGACTGCCACAGGTAAACCTTAGCAACCACAAAAATGTTTACAAGTCGGCGAATTTTACAGATATTTAGTGTTAGTAATATAACATGCCAAACATAACTTGGCATTTGTTACTAAGATAGGCTTTACTGTGCATTCTATATTGATTTGATACCAAATAATACACCAAATTTTATATGTGGCTCCAGGAATCTTTTCTATAGACGGCAGAGCTCAGATGTACATAGGACTGTGGAGTCTGGTTTTTAGTGTTAGGTGTTTTTAATCTCTGTACATTTATACTGTTTATTCTGAACATCAGTAGTATCATCAGCATCATAATATCAAGTTTTCTGCTCTTTTGTAGGTGATTGGAACACCCCAAAGGCCAACAGTATCAAATACGATTTTGTTAAACAGTCCGCACACACCGAGCTCTCAGTTCCTCACTCAGAGTCAACCAGCTGATGCCTCTCCTTGGTCGTCAGGGTAAGTTCTCATAATGTTAGCTTCATAAGCTGGGAACATTTTTGCAAAACTGTTCAGATTAAATAAAATGTTTATCAAGTCTTTAATGTAGCTTTTTTTCTTTCTTCAGTGAAAATTTTTGCCCACGTTGTATTTGAAAATCTATTGACCTATGCACTTTTTCTGTTTACAGAAAGCGGGGTAAGAAAGGGGAGAAGAATGGAAAAGGTTTGAGGCATTTCTCCATGAAAGTGTGTGAGAAGGTGCAGAAGAAAGGAGTGACCACTTACAATGAAGTGGCAGATGAGCTGGTTGCAGAATTCAGCTCTGCAGACAACCACATGTCACCTAATGACTCCGTGAGTGTTGTAGCTGGGTCTGGTTTTGTGTGTGTGTGTGTGTGTGTGTGCACCAAACTTTAGACAAAAACAGTAAAACGAGCTTCCAGATTTCATAGTTGGAGAGGTTTTATTGTCATTTCAGCTACGTACAAGTACATGTTGAACCGAAACAGCGTTCCTCCAGGATCACTGTTGTAGATGAACATATGCATGAGATATATTCATAAATTAAACGGATTCTTTCATTTTTCTGGACTGTATATAATGTGCATTGAATTTAGAAATGTAACGTGAGACGTTAATTATCTTTGACTCACCAAACGACAGTGGGTCATTTATTAACAGAATCAAAGTTTAACACATCACACATTTACATTAATTGGCAAAATATGGAAAATAACAACATGGCTAATTTTAGCAAGCTGTACAATTTTGATTGACCACACGGCGGTGGATGAGAACTTTACACAGACATTTCTAAAATATCTGGAATGATTTCTACCTGATAGAAGAATTTTAAAGATGGAAAGATGAAGTTTAAAGGGAGAAAAAGATGGGTGAGGGGGTTTGTTTGTGTCAGCATTCAGGACGGCACTCTCCGGGCTTTTCTCAGCTTCTTCCCCAGTACACTTAGGTGTTATAAATCAACTTTTTACCTGGAGATGTCTCCACTGGTACGAAAGTCCATTCAACGCACCCTTTCAGCGTCTCCGTAGGAACAGCTGTGAATCGTCCGAAGTAGTGACGGTATTCCGTCCGACACAGGTTCACCTCACGAGTGGACTTCACATGAGTGGAGTCCGTCAGAGTTCCACCCAGAGGTGGAAGATGTTATAATCCCATAAGACTCGGAAGAGCTCTGTGGTCATGTCAGGATCTTCCTGTTTCCCAGCACGAGTTGCAACGACTGAAGCCAGAGCCTGAAGCGACTGGGCTTCTGCAAACTCGACTCTCGACCCGACTGGAAACTCCACACGTCTCTCGACACTGCTCGACCTAGGAAGTACCGACATTTTAAAGAGCTCTATTTCCGGTTCATTTGGTAGTTTCTGATTGGTCAATATCGACCAGACAGGGGTGTGTTTTGTGACGTAAGAGGTCACTAGGAGTCAGAAAACAGCAAGGATGTTATGGAACAGATTGAAAATGTTTTTCAGACAGACGAGAGAAATGTTTGGACGAGTTGGCGGAAAACAGGTGCCAACAGGTGCCAGCTTCTCTATTTACGTCTGAGAGGATGTAAAAACAAGACAGTTCGTTCCAACACTTGTCTGCGTTTGAGTCCAACCTTGGACCAACTTACCCTGCTCATTCAAAGACAGAAAATCAGAAAATGCATAATTACTCTGTAACAGACCTTAACATGAATTCTAACTTTGCATGAGGATTAAAAATCATTATTACTGTTTCACAGTTAATAAAAATTGATTAGTTCACTACAACATCTAAAATGGTTTGAACTAAAACACTTTGATTATCAACATTTGTAAAATAGTAATGATAATAAAAAAGAGAGTGTTCTTTCACTTGAATTTTCAAGAAAGAAAGTCTCAGGATGGGTGAACCTGTATTTCTGTATTCAAATCAATGAAATGACAGTTTCTGTCCCATATGGTCCTTAAGGTCAAATCCTGACCTTAGGCTTAGTTCACTACACTGTGCAACACAGAACATAAAGTGTAAAACAATACAACACACAGTGCAGATACACAACAGTACATAAAATACAAACAGACATAATGAATGCAAAAAGACATCTAACTTAATTTAAACATTCTAATCTAAATACGTAATTAAGAGACAAGACTAGAGACACATGTTGATTAGTACATGTGTAGGTGGTACATGAGGTAGAAACGTTCTGATGAGAGGTTAGTTTTTTAAAGTTTTCCTATTTTTATAGCAGCAGAGAAAACTAAGGTGCAAAAACTTGAGCAAAAACGTGCAAGTAAATAAGTCACAAATTAAGTATTTCAATTTAGCATATCTTTGCCTAATTAAGATGTTTTTTATTTTTTGACTGTTTTGACCCACTTGTTCTTGCCATAGCACGTGTATGACCAGAAGAACATTCGGCGGCGTGTTTATGATGCACTGAACGTGCTCATGGCCATGAACATCATCTCAAAAGAGAAAAAAGAAATCAAGTGGATTGGCTTGCCCACCAACTCTGCGCAGGAGTGCCAAAACTTAGAGGTAGACACTGAACGCCATTTTCACAGTAATTTATCATAAAGACGAGGTTAAGTCAGGCCCTCGGGATGGATTTTTCTTTATTGAAATTTTTCGTCTTTTATCCAAAAGACTTCTTCAGTCTGAGACCCTGCAGCAAACTCAGTCTTATAAATGGCACCTTATCATAGTGGATCAACCAGAAAACCGCTTCAAGGTAGAAGCTGTTCCTCAGCCTAGTGGTTCTACACTTAATGCTCCTCAACCTCCTTCCTGAGGGGAGCGGGGCAAAAAGTGTGTGTGCTGGGTGAGTGGGGTCCTTCATGATGCAGGTGGCCCTCTTCCTGCATCTGGAGGTGTAAATGTCTGTGATGGGGGGGAGACTGACTCCAACAGACTTCTGTGCAGCCTTCACCACTCTCTGCAAAGCTTTTCTTTCTGCATCTGTGCAGCCTCCATGCCACACGTTGATGCTGGAGCACAGGATGCTCTCCACTGCACACCTGTAGGAGGTGAGGACTGAGCTTCCCAGACCAGCTCGTCTCAGCCGCCTGAGGAAGTAGAGTCTCTGATGAGCTTTCTTGATCAGGCTGGTGGTGTTGTTGCTCCAGCTGAGGTTGTCATTCAAGTGTACACCCAAGTACTTGTAGCTGGAGACCACTTCCACTGCAGATCCTCCTATGTTCTGGGGGTGGGGGTGTATGTGTGTGTTCCATCTGAAGTCCACCACCATCTCCTTCATCTTCTTCACACCGATGTGAAGGTTGTTCTTCCTGCACCAGCGCTCCCTCCAGGTGTTCCACCTCCAGTCTGTAGCTGGACTCATCATTGTCTGTGATGCATCCCACCACCACTGTATCATCTGCAAACTTTACAATTTGACAGCCTGGATGGGTAGGTGCACAGTTCGTGCCCTAACATTAGGTTGTTAGCACCTTGATGGCTGTTTGCTATTCACAGGGGCTGAGTGATACTTGCAATAACAGCATTTTAAGAGGAGGACAGTTGGACACGAAGACCCCCACCTCTGTTTAATAATAAACAGGTTCTCTTCACAAAGATGGCTTCCTTTACTCCTCTCTCAAACCAGCGTTCCTCTCGGCCAGAGTGATCTCCAGGCCAGCAGTCACTCTTTCAGGGATGAAGATGTTCACGTTCTTGCTGGAGTGGAACGCTGGTTTGAGAGAGGAGTGAAGGAAGCCATCTTTGTGAAGAGAACCTGTCTATTATTAAACAGGGGTGGGGGTCTTCATTAAGGTAAATCGTTACCATTAGCCAATGCTTACTGCTACTTCCGGTGTCTGACAGGAAGTTGTACCCATAATCATTTGTACAGTAGAGCCCCCAGGAATAAGATGGATAAGACCGAGTTTGATGCAGCTCCTCAGACAGAAGAAGTCTTTTGGATAAAAGATGAAACGTTTCAACAAAGTGTCCAGAGGACCTGACTTAACCTTGTTAGATGTTTCTATCTGGATTATTGAGCATGCATCGGGATGTTTAAGAGTTGCGTTCCACCCACTTTTTATTTAAATTTTCTTTCATTTCTTTTTCAGGCGGAAAGACAAAAGAGGCTGGAGAGGATCAAGCAGAAACAGTCACAGCTTCAGGAGCTCATACTGCAGGTGGACTGAATTTATTGTTTGTACATTTGGCCCCTCCTATATCAACTACAACCCTAAGGAATTAATTATCTGTAAAGTCGCTTTACATGTTAAGTTTTAAATGTTTTCTTGCAGCAAATAGCCTTTAAGAACCTCGTTCAGAGGAACAGACAGACAGAGCAGCAAGCAAACAGACCTCCACCTCCCAACTCCATCATCCACCTCCCCTTCATAATAGTCAACACCAGCAAAAAGACTGTGATCGACTGCAGCATCTCCAATGACAAGTATGTGATCACTGGCTCTGTTTTGTTGACCTCCAATTAAAGTGAAAGCATTAGATTTAATTGAAATTAGTAATAATTTGTATTTTATTTTACTTGATAAAGCGCAAAAATAATCTGTTAATTTCAGAATTTGAGTTTTATTTTACACAACAGCTCATTTAGTTTTGAAACGTGTTTTGTATTTTTAAACATGCTATTGGCAATGAGGCAGCAAGACGCGAGTCAGTCCATGCCAAACTTGGCTGATGTGGAGCATCGTTATATTAAAAAGATCATCGAGAAGTTCAGCAGCTAACGTTCAATGCTGCTTTCTGTAAAAGCAATAACTTGGACACACCACAATGTTCTGATAGGGAAATACTAAACATGACATTACAAATAGTCTTCCCATAATCATACAGTAAAAACTACCTTGAATAGTCAAGTTGACAAAGATTTAAATTTATGATACAGGCTGTTTAAGACATTAAAGTATTGACATAATCTTTTCTCCCTGTTTTACCTTCAAGGTGGGGTACTTAATTAAAAAAAGACAAGCCTAAGCTTACTACATTGGACTATTAAGAAATATTTGTACTGTATCAGTTAATGTGACCTTAAAAAATGAAATATGAAATATTTTGCCCTTTTGGTTTGAGCTCAAAGTTGACTTGAGTACATTCAGAAACTACCGTAATCCTCTGGAAACTACTTGTATCCTCTCAAGAGAGTAAACTTGAGTTTATATGTTGAGAGGATGAGGAAAGAAAGGAGTGCAGCAGTTAATTAGACTGAAGAAAGTAGCGCTGCCACTGGCACATTGTGCAATAATTGTGCATGTGTGCTCGGGCTTCTATGATGCGGTTTTACGAATCATACAGCATAAAGTAAACTAAATAAGAATGCACAATAAAAAATTGTGTTAATCTACTTGTGGAGGAGGAGGCAGGTCCGACTGGCCGGTTGAAAGAGGTAAAAAAAAATGTCCACTTAAGCTCAGGTGCATCAGCTAATCACTGGACGTGCACATCTCCACACCTGCTGTCATCTAAGAAGGAAGTAGCAGCATCTACAAAAGCCGAAGTGAGAAGTTTGTTCAATTAAAATAGACTTGTCCTATATTTTTCCCAAATAATTTTGCTCTTACTTCAATACTTTGAAGACTTCCTCAATCCCACCGGCACATCTTCCACTGAGGAAGCAGAGCCTGGGGACTCTGGGTCGGGCCCTCCAATCTCTGGTGCAGAGGTCACCAAGGTGGTTAAAAGCTCCTCGGTGGCAGGGCCCCAGGGGTGGATGAGATTCGCCCGGATTTCCTTAAGGCTCTGGATGTTGTAGGGTTGTGTTGGCTTACGCGACTCTGCAATATTGAGGGGACATCAGGGGAAGTTCCCCTGGATTGGCAGCCTGGGGTGGTGGTCCCCCTATTCAAAAAGGGGGACCGTAAAGTGTTCCAATTACAGGGGTATCACACTCTTAAGCCTCCCAGGTAAGGTCTATTCGGGGGTTCTGGAGAGGAGGGTCCGTCGGATAGTCGAACCTTGGATTCAGAAGGAGCAGTACGGTTTTCCTGGTCGTGGAACACTGGACCAGCTCTACACTCTCAGCAGGGTCCTAGAGGGTCCGTGGGAGTTTGCCCAACTGGTCTACATGTACTTTGTGGACTTGGAGAAGGCGTTCGACTGCGTCCCTCGGGGAACCCTGTGGGGGGTACTCTGGGAGTATGGGGTACCGGGCTCTTTGATACGGGCTGTTAGGTCCCTGTATGACCGGTGTCAGAGCCTGGTCCGCATTGCCGGCAGTAAGTCGGGCTTGTTCCCAGTGAGAGTTGGACTCTGCCAAGATTGCCCTTTGTTACGATTCTGTTCATAACTTTTATGGACAGAATTTCTAGGCACAGCCAAGGTGTTGAGGGGATCCGTTTTGGTGGCCTTAGGATTGCTTCTTTGCTTTTTGATGATGATGTGGTCTTCTTGGCTTCATCAGATAGTGATCTACAGCTTTCGTTGGAGCGGTTCGCAGCCAAGTGCGATGCGGCCGGGATGAGGATCAGTTCCTCCAAATTTGAGGCCATGGTCTTGAGCCGGAAAAGGGTAGAGTGCCCTCTCTGGGTCAGGGAGGAGATCCTGCCCAAAGTGGAGGAATTCAAGTATCTTGGGGTCTTGTTCACAACTGAGGGAAAAATGGAGCGTGAGATTGATAGGCGGATAGGTGCAGCGTCTGCAGTGAAGCAGGCGCTGTACAAGTCTGTCGTGGTGAAGAGACAGCTGAGTCAAAAGGCGAAGCTCTCAATTGACCAATCAATCTACGTTCCCACCTTCATCTATGGTCATGAGCTTTGGGTTGTGACCGAAAGAACGAAATCTAGGATACAAGCGGCCAAAATGAGTTTTCTCCGCAGGGTGTCTGGGCTCTCCCTTAGAGACAGGGTGAGAAGCTCGATCATCCGGGAGAGACTCAGTGTAGAGTCGCTGCTTCTCCACGTCGAGAGGAGCCAGTTGAGGTGGCTCGGGCATCGGTTTAGGATGCCTCCTGGACGCCTCCCTGGTGAGGTGTTCCGGACACGTACCACCGGGAGGAGACCCAGAGGAAGACCCAGGACATGCTGGAGGGACTATGTTTGGCTGGCCTGGGAACACCTCGGGATTCCCCCAGAGGAGCTGGACCAAGTGGCTGGGGAGAGGGAAGTCTGGGCCTTCCTACTTAGGCTGCTACCCCCGCGACCCGACCCCGGATAAGCGGAAGAAAATGGATGGATGGAATTTTGCTCTTAAAATATTTTTGTTCATCTGTATAACAGCCTGTCTTTAGAGTTTTTTATTTTTTAGGCTATTCGTTTTGTACGTTAATATCTATTTGGTGAAACAAGACATCTTATATCGTCCTTTCTTTGAAATACATTTTAAAAATATGTCAAACTGATTTGCTTACAAAAACAGTAAAAGCTTAATTAAAAAAAGTCTGGTTTGAGTTCGGGCTTGTAATTACAGTTAATCCGTCTGTTTCGGGTCGGGCTTGGAACAAATTATACGGGCTGGGCTGAACTTTTTAGGCCCGAATGCAACTCTAATCCACCCACATGGCATACATGCTAAATGTTCATCAGGCGGGTTTTATCAAGCTTTGGGGTCAGGATGAAAATGACAGAAATTAAAGAAGTAGTGTCTGAAATAATGACTGATACGCATTTTCTTGTTTATATAGACAGTTTCTTAGACTTGTTCTAAAGTCTTCTTGTTTTAGCCACTTGACATTTTTATACTTGTTTTTTCTTAAAAAGTTGTTTAAAGAAGACATGCTAATTACGTTAGTCGAAATACTGGATAGATAATATTTAAGATGTATTTAGGAGCCTGTTTTTTTTGCTGTGTACCTATGACTTTCCACAGTCTATAAATGTCCTTAGACTAACATAAGAAACAGCATTTTCATTCATGTTTTGCTATGTCTCCTGTTCTCTTTGTTTACAGGTTCGAGTATTTGTTCAATTTTGACAGCATGTTTGAGATTCATGATGACATTGAGGTGCTGAAACGAATGGGCATGGCCTGTGGCTTGGAGGTGGGAAAGTGTTCTGCAGAGGATCTGAAAGTTGCACGCAGCCTGGTGCCCAAAGCTTTGGAGCCTTATGTTATAGGTAGGTGTCCCGTGTTCGTTTCTGCTTGTTAAGACGTCAGTCATGACCAGAAGCATATGCGTTTACGTTTTGTTTGTTCATCTCATCTATACACGAAGAAAATATTGACTGGATGTCTTGAGGTTTTGTCAAAATTTGCCACAAACGTTAATTTAAAATTGGGCATCGGCAATTTGGAGGTTTAAAAGAACATTGTCAGGAATGCAAAATGTATCCCATTTATAGGAAAGGGGGGTTGCGGTGGGAGGGAGGGAA